AACTGTTAACAACTAACAAGAAAGATTGTGGAACAGAAATTGTCATGATTTAGTTTATATGATCACAAGTAACCGATAAGCTGGTCTAGTTGAAAATGGATGTTGAGGGTAGGTTTTAAAAATTTCTGTAGAACTAGCATAGGCCCTTGGAGGTGATGTAAGAATGAGAAAGCCTTTTGGTAGACAAGGCTGCGTGGAATTCAGGGGCATCTTGGAGTCTAGTCAAATCATTGTGAAAAATTTAACTTTCATCATCAACTCACCTCAGAGACTGACTCGAGTTATTCTCCTATTAAACTAATCGGATAACACACCTAGGTTAGTAAGAAAAGCAATAATTTATGAGGAAAATTTGGATGCATACGAGAATGGCAGTTCTCGTTGCATTTATTAATGCCTAAATAATGGGAGCATTCGAATTTGAATAGGCAAAGGATGCTAGAGCATAAATCGACATGCTTTAGTCTTGGGCAATCGAATTGTAGTGTATTAAGCGATGTAGGGATTAAGGGATATGTTGTTATCTAAATACGAAATGGTTATGATGTTGACTTGACATTTTGATATACCTGAACACTTTATGTCCCACAGTAGTATGGCCAGACTTCGCCGCATTCAATAAGTATTCTTGCTTTGGAACTGTTCAATTGGGGTATCCAGGTAATGCCACCGAAGCCTGTATTTTCCGCCGGCTCCTGGGATATTGTAACTAATGCGTCTGGATCCGAATAGCTGGAAACTGAGAGGAGGATGTCCCTAAGAGTTATTTTCCGACAATGAACTACGTTCTTGGCAATAGGGCTACATAAAAACCTTCTCGCGATTTGCAAATGTTCTTAGGTGTGGTAGAAGATTGTATTTTTATTTTCTCTCATTATTAGGTTCAAACTATAGGGCAGTCTATGTATCGAATGCAGGCTATCACTGGGCTGGAGGATGTACCCAGCACAATAAGTTAATTAGCCACGAGCCTTAAGACAGAGACACAGGCCTCAGACCATGCTGATGCGCAAGAAGTGAGCTGGTTCATGTGTTGCAAAAGAAAAAAAGCAGGTTGCAGAATACAAATTCGACGACTCCCTTGATGAGTGCAAAAGGCATTGATACGTTTTCGTCAAATCTAGTATTGCCTGTGCACCATCATGAACATTTAGCAGGGGGGCCATAAGTGTGATGGGTCATATCAAAAGATTAGATGAGCTAAAGTTTCTATTAATAGTAGACTTGACTACCTGTCTTAGAGGAAGTTTCGTATATCACGAAGGTTCTGCATCCTTTCTGTTAATCGCGCTAATCACTGCATCCCTCTCTTTCACAGTCACATACATACATACATACATACATACATACATACATACATACATACATACATACATACATACATACAT